AAAAATTTATCTAGTCCAATACCCTCAGTATTAGGCCTAATAAATGCCTATAGGATGATTGATTGGAGGATTGAAAGTAAGGTTCAAAAAGTGAGTTGACCAATTTGGAATTATGCCCAAAGGGTTATCAAAATGTGCATACCCTTTGACCCAGCAATAACACTTCTAGGACTATATCCCAAAGAGATCATATAAATGGGAAAAGGACGCACACATACAAAAATCTTCATAGCAGCTCTTTTTGTTGTGGCAAAGAATTGGAAATTGAGAGGATGTCCATCAATTAGGGAAATGGATGAGCAAGTTGTGGTATATGAATGTAATGGAATACTGTTGTGCTGTAAGAAATGATGAACAGGCTGACTTCAGAAAAACCTGGAAAAACTTGTATGGTCTGATGCTGAGTGAAGTGAGCAGAACCAAGAGAACATTGTACATAATAATAGCCATGTTGTGCGATGACTAATATTGACTAACTTAACCTTTTTCAGCAATACAAGGATCTAAGATATCTCCAAAGGCCTCGTAATGAAAAATGCTATTCACATCCAAAGAAAGAACTATGGAAGTTGAATTCCTATTTCTTTTCTCTTCTGTTGAGTTTTGTTTCCTCTTTCTGATGGTTCCTCCTATTGGTTTTAATTTTTACTTACAACATCACTAATGTGAAAATATGTTTAATAGGAAAGTAAATGTGTAGCCTATATTAGATTGTGCGCCGTCTTGGGGAGGGTGGTAGGGAGGAAAGGGGAGAAAAATTTTCAACTCAAAAGCATATGGAAGTGATTGTCGATAAATCAAAATAAATTAATAAAACTTTAAAAAATTTAAAAAATTTTAAAAAGTGAGTTGACTTGCCCAAGGTCACACAGCTAATAAGTAGAAGAGCTAGGATCTTGATAATATCTGTAATTACCACTAACATTTGCATGGTGTTTAAAAGTTTGCAGCCTACATCCAGAGCTCTCTCCAACACAGCTTTAGGATGCATAGAATGTATGTCTGAAGGTGAAGGAGCAGGCATTAGGATGTAGTGGTGAGCTCTGAATCAGACAAGCTAGATTAAAATTCTGCCTCTGATGCCTACTCCCCATGTAATGAGACTTTTAGCCACTTTGAGATTCAGTTTCCTTCTCTGTAAAATGAATGGGTTGGGCTACATGGTCTCTGAGGTCCCTTCCACCTTTCCATCTATGATCCCCACATATATGGTAACATGTGTGTCTGTTGAAGGGTATGCATTGTTCCTGTCTGGAAGGGTTGGGATTCTGGTGTACTTTTGGTGTATTTACATAAGGAGTTGGGGAAGATAGCTAGGAGAAAGGAAGGGATTTTACTCTTATCAAATTCTGAACACCTCATTGTCTGTTGATGTCTCCCAAGCCTGATTGGATGGGGCCATTCCAGTTTGGGCTTCACAAGGCATCTAGTACTTTCCCTCCACTTCCTCAACAAAGATGGCCTTCACATAGAAATTGTGACCTGCTACGGCTTAGTGATTTATGAACACTAGGGGTAGCATGGGTCCATCTACTAAGGAGACAGTCCCAAAGGCTTGGAACTTTAGGCACCATAGAGAGACCCATTGAGGGTGAAACCTACTGAGGGTGAAAAGACAAAGGAGGAATTTATCCAGGGCCTCTTCCTTCATCTAGGAAGACACTGAAAAAGCTAACAACTACATATCAAATTCTTTTTTTTTTCAGCTTTGATAAATTATCTCACAGTGAACCTTTCTAAACCTTAGTCTAGCAGAAATCTTGCCAGGCTAGAACTAAAGGAAGACTTCCAAATCTGAATGCCACACATTCCACTAAATGAAGGCCACTGGTTGATCTAATTCTGTCAGGAAACTAGTTTCTCTCCTACTCTCCAAAAATGTTCTTCTTCTGCCCTCAGCTCAAAGCCCAGTCCCAGTCCTAACCAGCTCTGATTTTTCCCAGGTGTTAGTAGCACCAGGGGCAGCAATGAAGGGGAGAAGGAGAGTGGGAAATCAATCATTGCTGAAGGCTCCAGTCCTCAAGACATCCCTCTGTCCTGCTCAAGCAGAAAGACAATAACCCAGGTCTCACTTCCCTGGGAACTGCCTCACTCCATTAAAACTCTTTGCCAAGCAGCCAGATTCTAAAAGCAGGAACCCCCTTCTAGGGTTTCCAAAGGATGAGGCCAGATTTGACTAATTGAACTCAGCCACAGCCTTCCCTCAGTCCCTGTTGTACTTTGTCTCTCCAACTCTGATTTGCTGCTCAATAGTTATTTTAACTATCCTGAGGGTTACCTTTATACCTCAATGCCCGCTCTTGGAAAGAGGGCTTTGGAAGGGCTAGATTGAAAAATGAAATGGTAGCTGTAAATTCAAGCAGGCAGTAAAAAGCAGAATGCTGTGAGGGCAGTTCAAGTCTCAAACCTAGAATCAGAGAGCTAAAGGTTCCCTTAGACATCAGCTAGTGGTCCAACCCTCATTTTACTGAGGACAAAACTTTGGCCCACTAACTCATCATCTATCTAGGATCACAGCAGAGCTGGTCTAGGACTTCTAATTCCCAAGCCCCTGCTTGTACTGCTCCCATAACTAATAGACATCTAGTGATTTTAGGATTGTAAATCACAAGATCATAGGCCTAGAACTGGAAAGGACCTCCGAGTCTGTCTTATCTCCTCATTTAAAGTACAGAATTGAAATTATGTCCTAAGAGAGTTCCCTTGTATGTTGCTTAAGGGAAAGGGAACAGGAAGAAATTCCATGTAGATGACTACTGGAATAGTTTATCTGTATGTCAGCCTCGTTCTGATGGAAAATACTCTGTGCCTCTACTTTTATATATTGAGAAATTAAATATAAAGATTAAGTGACCATCCATAGAATACTATATTTAAAACAGAAACAATGGCACTGCACCTATGAGTTGTCTGTACATTTCACAGGTGAAGCTATGTTCTTTTGCATTGATTCACACAATCATATATTTAGAGGTTCATCTCATCCAGCTCCCTCATTGTATAAGACAAGGAAACTAAGAATCAGGGCAGGAAGGTGACTTGCACAATTTCATACAGAAAAATAAATGGTAAATCCATATTATGATTCTTCGTTTGGCCAGTGACCAGACTAAGCATGGAGTCTCAAGTACCCCAGGATTCAGGCAGATCCTGCTGGCCTAGGCGTGTTTGGAAAGTTCCTTAGGAATATCCTCTCAGCTCTTAATAACACAGAGAGTGATTCAGATCGATGGATGCTGACTGGCCTACATGATCATAGATGCCCACATTCCAGTCTTAGGGGACAGGGAAGATTGAGCAGAAATGGCCACTTGATCTGAGGCACAAGAGATAGGGGACTGGGCCCTCATGGAGCTGCTTCCTATTAGACAAGGTCTGAAAATGCAAAAAAAAACCCCCAAACAAACCACAAACCACAACCCCAAACCAAATAGGGCCTTTGTATGATACAGCAAACTCCAATTTTTGGGTGTGTGTGTGTGTGTGTGTGTGTGTGAGAAATAGAACAAATAACAAAGTATTAACTGCTTGGAATGAACAAAAACTTAGTTAACAGAAAGGCAGAATTCTGTAGCCCCCAACACCTGGAGTATTTAAATGGTAGGAAAGAAGGAAGGAAGGCAGGAAGGAAGAAAGGAAGGAAGGAAGGAAGGAAGGAAGGAAGGAAGGAAGGAAGGAAGGAAGGAAGGAAGGAAGGAAGGAAGGAAGAAAAGAAAGAAAGAAGGAAAAGAAAGAGAGAAAAGAAGGAAGGAAGGAACGAAGAAAAGAAGGAAGGAAGGAAAGAAGAAAGGAAGGAAGGAAGGGAGAGGGAGAGAGAGGCTAAAAGAAAGAAGGAAGGAAAAAAGAAAGGAGGAAGGGAGAAAGCTGGAGAGACGGTTATACCAGAGATCCATTGACTCCCCGCCCCCACACAATCATATAAGGTTGGAAAGCATAAGTGATTCTAGTGCATCTATTATTTGAATGTTCACACCTCAAAATGAGGGAAGTCTTAAAACCTCATGCCATAGTAATTGAATAAATATATTAAATAGGCCTATTGCATAATGGTATGGAGGCCTTATTGACTGCCAGCTTCTAAATTTTGCATTCTCCTTGTCTCTTCCCTGATATTCCTTGCAACTTCCTATCTATTGCACATAAGGCACCCTCATATTAGGTGCCTGAGTTGAGCTCCTCTTAGTTACAAATCTAAAAGGGCTAGGGACTGAAGATTCTGTGCCAAGCTCAGAAGAAGATTCCTAAGTAGGAGTCTTGACATGGTCTGAAGCTTAAATAACAGGAAAATAACCTTTTCTGCTAGAGATTTTCTTATTTAATGAGATTTTAATTCAGCCTTCCTTCTGTGACCCTTTATCAACCTCCCCTTCCCCCCCCAAAAAAAATCCTCCATCTTTTTCCTAGACCGAGACACTTAAGCCCAGTTGGAGGAGGAGACCTTCTTTCTGAATCTGATTCATTTGAGCTTCTAGAAACCAACTGAGCACCATTTTGGACCCAACAGAGCAATCAGTCTTTGCCAACCTCTAAAAAAGAAGAGTCATCCTAGTTTCCCTCTGTCCAGGGCTACTTGGCTGGTTTCTTGATCTACATGCAAATCCCAAAGGACCACAAAGAAGGGCCTTTGGGATCTCTTGATACTACACAGTGAAAGACAGATTTTTGGGTCCATTTTTCTTTGTCGGTTGGACCCTCAAGACCTCTGTGTGTGACTGGGAGAAACCTCCTACAGGGTTTTTCTCTACCTATTTTCATGTCAAGAATATGATTTTTAAGGCATTCTCCTAGGATCCCTTCACATTTTGTGAGGGGTGCTTCACTTCTAAAATCACCTCCTGAAACCTTCTTAATGGTCTAAATGACCTAGTGTCAACACACTCCTTGTAGCAGGACTGCCAAGTAAAGATGGTGTGGAGACAGACATGGTATGTGAACCCTGGCTGCCCCCTGCCTGAGTGTTGCTGGGCAGAGGGGCTGTGCCTATGTGACTTTGCACTAACCTTGTTCTCCTGTCATGTCAGTACTGTCCCCAGAACTTCTGCTATTCCCCCATTTTTGCTTCCTTGGAGCTCCACGTGGCATAACAGCAAAAGGAGTAACGGGGACCTGTGAGGAAAGAAAAACAGGCTAGGTCACTGGAGGATCTCCAACAGAAACAGCAGAAAAAGCTGGGGAGGAGGCTGGCCTCCAAGACTGCCGAGAGCAGCAAATCAGATCTTGGCCAGGACTAGCCAGGGAACGTTAAAAAAAAAAGGGGGGGGGAAATGTGTTGGGGGGGATCCAGAGGGCTTTCCCAGCAGTTGGAAATGGGTCTCAGTTTCCTGCGGGGAGGGGGTTCTGGAGTGGTCGTGTTTAGAAGAGTCCTCAGGGATTTGGTGGAAAGGGGGATGGAACCTGGATGTACCGTGCCCGTTTATCTGCATTTAAACTTTCCAATCTGGCCCTGTCTCTTCCCAAAGCTGGGGTACCCCGGGAAGTAGGAGGAGGCACGCAGATAATCGGGGGTCCTGGAGGAATCAATGTATCTAGTGGCTCCTGGGAGGTGTTAGTGGAGGAGAAAAGGCCCGGGGGTAGGTAATCCCAGCCCCACGACGGCATGACCAGCCAGAGTGTACGCAGCAGCTGTTTCCTGGCCAAAATTGAGCAGGAGGTGGGTAGAAGCAGGGAACTGGCAGCATCAGAGATGACACCTGTCTCCCAACAGTTTCAGGGGAAGGGGTTGCAAAAGAAACCCTCGAGCTCCTCGCTGCCTTCTCTCTCTGCGCCCTAGGCAGCTCCCTAGGGCTGCCTGTTTTGCTCCACTGCTTTGCGTATTTTTGTGTTTATATACCAGAATGCTGGGAAAGTGTGCCATCTCGGGAAGCCCACCCGGGCTCATAGGCTATCCAGACCCTGGACCCCCTGAACGGGGCGATTAGGGGCTGGTAGGAGCCGGGGAGAGAGCGCCAGCGCAAGATTGCAGGTCTTGGTTTAAACTGCAGAAGAAGCCTGGACGCAGTCAGTCAGGCCTTACATACTGGCACCGTGGCTTGGTTTTGGGGGGGGTTGACTCATTTTAGGGTTCACAGAGATCTCATCTGTCCTCCCTCTTCCTGCCTCCCCCCACTTTACACTTTCCTTTACAGAAGTGGAGGGAGTGGGGAGAGGTCTGAGCTCAAACAAAATGTTCTCGGAGCAATGTACCCACGAGAAGACCAAAAAGCAAACTGCATTGACTTTGCTATTCTTTGAGAAGCGTAAGAGTTGAGGAGACTTTTTATTCTCTTCTCCTAGCACAGGGATAGCTGTACCTCCTCTCGTCCTGCTTTCCCATCCCTGCCCAACCAGGGGACAGGAAAAGCCAGCCTTTCTCCCCCTTCCACTAGCCGCCAAGCAGCCTCCCAGCAAGGCAGCAACAGTTGTCTGGCAAACGCAGGGACTCGTTTGGGTGCAGCACGACGCCTGGGTTCTCCACGGCCCCACCCGAGCCCTGGCTCCCCATCCCCACCCTTGAATATCCCTGGGGCAGGAGTAGCTGTATGGAGCAGGGGACAAGCCGAGAAAGCCCGGCACTTAGGAGCCAGCCACCTTTCCTCCTGTTGCTCCAGCTCTCTTTCCAAGTTCGCAGTCTTAGTCTCCCCGCAACCCTCCGGACTAGATGGCTCCTTCGGCCGCCTGGGTAGGAGGAGGGTGTCCATGAGGTGGGGAGAGGGACTGGAGCAGCATAATAAACAGGGGAAACACTCGGACCAGGTCGGGCTAATTTTTTTTTAGCAGAATATGACCCTTTCACCTCTGTTTAACCAAAACCTTGGCTTCTCTGACGGCCCCAGCCGAGTTGCGGGGAGAGAAACCCCACCAGGGCTTTTGCTTTTGACCTGGTTCTACAGTCGAGTCTTAGGGACCCCTTTACTCTCCTCAAAGGTGCACTCGGACAAGGGAAATATTTTTTATCTCGGGAGGGAGATGCCTTTTTGGCCCCAGAGTCTGGATTTCTCGCACAACGGTGCTCGGGCGCCTGCTTTTAGACTGAGCTGGGGGGAGGTTGGCGCAGTGCTGCAGCCCCGGGGCTCCGCACTCCTCTGGCTCGAAGTGGGGGCTATTAAGGGGAGGGAATGGCCAGGGTGGGGGCACAAGCCTGAAAGAAGGGGGAGACCTCTCTGGTGTTTGGAAAGACGGGCAAAATCCAGGCCCTCCCGGATCAAGTAAAGCCCTCTAGGCAACGTCCCCTCGACTGCGGGTTTCTCAAACTGATTCTTATGCCCAGGTCCACATCCCCATGGACGTACATGTCTGTCGGGGAGGGGGGCTCCTACTGCTGCAGTCACGACGGGTAGCCCGCCGTTGTCTCTGGAAAGCAGATTAGGAAAGTGGCCTGACTCTGGGGACTAGTGATTGAAGTGATAAGGACTCCCTGCAAAGCGGGGTGAGGGGCGGGGGACTAGAGCAAGGGCCCCATGCTTGCCGCAGTTACCCTCGTCGGGGCTAGGCGCGCAGCGGGGCTGGGGCTGCAGCTTCTATTGCTGCTGCTGCTGAACCCCCTTTGCAAACCGCATTTCTCAAAATCAGCTTCTCACAGGTACACCCCCCCCCCAGCAGCTTCGGGCTTTTCCACATATTTCGAGCTCCCTCGTTTTGAGGGCAGGGGATACTTAGCGGGGCCAGCTGGATCAAGGCTCCCCAAATCATGTTGGAAGCAAAGAGGGAAGAAAGAGACTCCGGGAAGCTGGTGGCGCTTTGGACACCTTAGTCTCCCTCGCTTCTCCGAGTCTCCCCAACCCGTCGCTGTCCTTCCCCAGCCTGATTTCTGGTCTGGGTATCTCTAATGTGTCCCCCTCCCCCAATCGCATAGAGCCCTACCCCACCCAGACTGATTTATTTCCCCAGGACCCATTTGGGGAGCTGGTAGCCCTAGGAAAAATGATGCTAACGTGCCTCGAAGTCATTTCTCTTAGAGGTGCTCTCGGAATGGACCGATTTTCCGCAGCTGGGGTTGGGGGGGGGTAGGGTGTGTGCGGGGGCGCTTAGGGGGAGATTTTTGTAAACTTTTATTGCATTTTTGGTTTTCCTTCATTCCCCCGAAAACACAAACACTCTCACTGGCGTCCTCCCCGATTCCCCCAGTTCTGCAAAGTCGATTAAAAAGTTCGGGGGGAAAAACGGAAGGCAGATCTCTTGAGGTTCGGGGAATGGCAGCCACTGGGGACCGGACTGGACGGTGAGGAAGGTGGCTCTTTCCTCGGGCGGCGACCTTGGGAGCTCGGGGGGGGGGCGGGGTGGAAAGAGACTGAGGCTGGGGTTATGTGTATAGGAGAGGGGGCGCGCGCAGGCGGAGGCTCGGCTCGAGGGAAGTCGAGCTTCTGGAATGTCGAGTCCGGGGCGTCGGCTGTGGCTCGCTGGCGGGTCGCGATGATTCCTCGGCGATTGTATCCTCCTCGAATGCTTTTTGGGGTAAGGGCTTCCCGGCTACATAGTTATATACAGCAAGCCCAGACCGCAAAAAGATTCGCGAAGGACAAAGTCTCTCGTCGTCTTCCTTCGGTCCGCCGCTCAGCCTCCACGACAGGAACTCGCCGAAACCTTGAGGGGAACGGGGTTGGTCTCCCGGTCACACCCGAACCCCCCCAGTCCCTCCCAGGACTCCTAACACCTCTCTCTCCCCCCTTCTTCTTACAGCGCCTTCTCCAGACCGTCGGCAATCTTACTCAACTCTGCTCATCTCAGCCGGGAGAAAGGTGTGTGTGTGCGGGGAAAGAGAAGGGGAATAGCGGGGCAGGGGTCCCCGAGCTCAGCCTTCGCCCTACTCTCCGTCGACCCTCTCACCCAAATTCTTCCCTCTTTTCCAGTCAACTCTCAGTCCCCCATAGGGGGACCGGGAGCCCCGAGCCCCAAGATCGGTGTACTCGGAAGACAAGTACAATTCGGTTTTCTTCCCAACCTCCCCACCCCCCCACCCCACCCTCCGCAACTTCTTCTTGCTCCCAAGCTGAGGTTCCAACCACGACTACTGGCGCTGCGTAAAGAGAGAACTCTCCCGGAGAGCTCTAAATAAATAGAGCCCAAGCAGCCAGCTCATTGGTGCGGACTAAAATCGTCACCCACCAATCAGGAGAGACCTAACATTTCTTTTTTTTTTCCCCTGAAGGGGGGGAGGGAGAGAAACATTTCCATTTCTAATTATTCAACAAAACCCAGACACATTAAAATATTGTTGCCAGGCGATCGAGTTGGTTAGACCGACACCGTCCCCTCCCCGAAAAAGGGGAGGGGGGAGAAAGGGGACAGAATCAAGAGAGAGACCTTATCCCAATGGGACCCAAACCAGATCTTCTAGATGAAAAGATAATCAAGGATGGAAATAAAATAAACACGAACTCCACGCTATTCAACCTATTTCCAGAAAATGAGGAGCCCCCTTTCCCCCCCCCCAAGTTATAAATACCTAATACCAAAAGAGAAGCTCTCCTTCTCCCCCACCCTCATGGACCCCAGTGGAGATAGAGTGTTCATCACCCAGTTCACCTCTTTGGTGTTTCATTCCAACAGCTTAGAGAGGGCCCCTGCCCAGCCCCAGGCAACATATTTTCTATTTGGTAAAAGGTGAAGGGAACCTGCAAAGGGAGAGTTCTCAAGGATCATCCACAATGCCCACCAAATGGATGCTTCTGCATCCTTCTCAAGGGGAGGGGGAAGAAGGAGGGAGAGATGGGAGGAGAAAGGAGTCAGGGGAGAGAAAGATGGAGGGCGCAGGGAAAGCTAGGGTTCTCTCCAGTTCTTCCAAAAGTTCCAAGGTATGGTTTTACTTTTTGCACTAGAGTTCCAGTTCCTTTGTTTTCCCCTCCCCCATATTCCCTTACACATCTCTACTGCTGTGCTAGGGGGAAGAGACCATCCCTATCTGGAACTGATTCAGGAGAAGGAATCGCAACCTGACTGAGACGGAAGAATTTCAAGAACTTGGGGGGAAAAGTTTCTATGTTTGTCTAACACCACACTGGAAGCTACGTGCTCCCGCCAGAACTAGCAGGCACCCACATATATACAGCACAGGTCTAGGGGACGATATAGGGCAGTCAATACCACCAAATTGCCTCTATCATTCCGCACATTCCCCCGCCCCATTTCCA